TTGATGAGTATTTTTTGTTTTTCATTGGGACTTCATATTTTATATGCTAGCTCCGTGTGTGTGTGTGTGTGTGTGTGTGTGTGTGTGTGTGTGTGTTGATGAGTATTTTTTGTTTTTCATTTGTCTTTTTGACACAGGGTCTCTGTGTAGCCCCAGCTGACCTGGAACTCACTATATAGGACCAGGATGGCCTTGAACTCACAGAGATCCACTTGCCTCTGCCTCTGAATGTTAGAATTAAAGGTGTGTGCTACCATGCCCAGCTGATAGTGTGTGTATGTTGAATTCAGGGCCTTACTTAATACTTGACAAGCACTCTGCCACTGAGCCACACCCACAGCCTTCTATGTTGTATATTTAATTCTCCCCATAATTCTGTAAGTATGCTTCCATCATCCCCATCCATAGTGTCTACTCTGACCCCACTCTGAAAAGTCATTGTCTCATCCTGTGTCTTGGAAACATGGTCTGTCCCCAGAGTTCCAAAACAGTTTTTGGATGACCTGTTCCTCTTTGTGGGGTGGTGGTCATAGGTGTTTGTTTAGCAGGATGTGGAAAAGAGCCCCTTTTTTGTTGTTGTTGTTGTTTTTTTTTTTTTTTTTGCCTTTCTTAGGTCTTCAGCAATATTCTCCAGCATTGTGGCTTGCAAGGGGATGGGCCCAGCACCACACCCCAGAAGCTTGAGGAGAGGAGTCGATTGACCCCCAGCGAGATGCCCCTCCTGGTGAGGTTGCCCCCCAGCCCAGCTTCTTCTGTCTGAGTCCCTCCAGCCAAAGCCTGGATGTCTCAGAGCTGGGAAGATTACTATAGGGTACAGTGGTTTCTTCCCCTGCTCCTGGCTTCTTTCTTTAACTTAACATGTATCTCTTCATGTCCCATAGGTTAAAGTAGATTTTCAACAGGCTTTGTTTCTCTCTGAAATTTTCATGGAGTACTAGAAAGAACAAGGCCCTAGAATTTAGTGGGCTGGGTCTAGTCTTCACGTAGGTCTGCTCAACAGGCCCTTTTCTTAAACCAGTCGTTGGTTCAATGAATTATATTGAAGGATCCCATCCCCAGTATGTGCTAGGTCCAATGCTGAGCCTGGGGGTAAAGCAATAAACAAAAGCAGACACAGTGCCTGTCTGAGAATACCTAATGAGAATGACATACAGACAGTGAACATTTAAGGAGCCCTGGTGCTGTGCACAAGAGACAGCAGGGATGTGGCAGCTGTGAACCACCCTCTTGGCATTTGCCATCTGGTGGGAAAAAAATCGTTAAGCAAGTGTTTCAGAAGAACACGTGCCAGGAACTGTAGAAGCAAATCATCTTAGCCCTCTGAGCCTCAGTTTCCTTATCTGTCATGGAAATCCTGAGAGCTACCCAGCCTGCTCCTTAAGTTGGCATAAGAAGCAGCAAGGCAGATGAGCAAGTACCCTGTGTCCTATGTACCCTCTTCAAAATGTGAGGGAAGTGTGAGCTTGCTATTCCTGTCTGCACCAGGTTATGTGATCTTTCTCTGGGCCCAGTGTTCAGATTCAGGGGGTTGATTTTCCTTCAGCATAGAAGAGAGATCATGTTAGAGTTACAAATGACCTTAGCCATCATTGAGTGTAGACCACTAGAAGTACAGTGGCAAACCCTGAGGTTAAGTGTCCCAGATTGCCCTCATAAGAGATGAACCAGCCAGGCTGTTTCTGGGGCCTCCATTGTCCTATTACTCTCAAGCAACACCCTGCCTGCTGGGAACACTACCTTTGTCAGTTATATCTTGAGCCCTCTGCAGAGCTGTCTGTAGGGACAAAGGAGAATAATACAATGTCTTCTCTTGGCAATAGGAATTCAAGGACATTGTTCTCTACCTGTGTGATACCTGCACTACACTCTGGGCCTTTCTGGATATCTTCCCTTTGGCTTGCCAGACCTTCCAAAAACATGACTTCTGTTACAGGTACAGTGGACATTCTGGCTGTTGAAGTAGTGGCTCTGGTCCACATTTCATTCAGACGCTTATTGACTTGGTTTTTAGACTGTACTAGTACCTCTACCAGCCTGGGAAAGCATAGTAAGGAGCACAGATAATAGGAGCCTTCATTTTTAGAAGCATCCCCAGTTTGGGCTAGGAGTAGGGTCAGGCGAGGGGATAAACACAGCAGGAAAAAGACAGTTTCAAGTCTGCTTTGTTTTGTGTGCCTCATCATGAGAGTGACAGCCAACAAGAACTAGCCTGATGAGGAACCAGTAAGGTACTCCTTCCTGCTGAGGGGGGTGGGGTAGAAGGAAAATGACTCCTTAAAAACAGTCTTGAATGGTGAGCAGGAAACTGGCACAGTGGCTATTCCTGCCATCCTAGCTACTCAGGAAGCTGAGGTAAGAGGAACACTTGAGCCCCAGAATTTGAGGCCAGCTTAGTCAACACAACTAGAGCCAGTCTTAGAAAAGGAAAAAAAAAAGACTCAGGGGTTAACAGCACTGGCTGCTCTTGCAGAGGACCTGGGTTTGATTCCCAGCACCCATGTGACAACTAACAACCATCTGTAACTCTAGTTCCAGGGAATCCAGTGCCCTCTTCTGTCCTCTACAGACACTACACGACTTTGGTGCATTTACATACATGCAGGTATAACATTCATACACATAAAATAAAAATAAATTTTAATGCCAGGTGTGGTAGCACATGCCTTTAACCCCAGCACTTGGGAGGCAGAGGCAGGCCAATCTCTGAGTTCAAGGCCAAGCCTGGTCTATATAGTGAGTTGCAGGCCAGCTACGGCTACAGAGAGACCCTGTCTCAAAAAGACCAAAAATAAATAAATAAAAAGATCAAACTGTTCTAGACAGGAAGAGCATTGAGGACATGAATTATATAAAAAGGCCAGATTATGCTCTGAAGAGAACAGGGAATAGAATGTGACCTGAAACAGGGTTGAGGACCTCATGACAGCAGGAAAAGGAACCAATAACAAAGAGACGTCCACTGGTAAAAGCCAGATTGTGGAGAGTGGGAAGAGCTGGCAGGGGTGGGGCCTTTATTCTGTAGGCAGTGGTAACCATTGGACGCTTTAGTCTAAAGGAGCCATAGGAAGATCCTGCTGAAATGAAGAAGAGCTGGGGACAGCGGAAAGCCTATAGCAAGGAGGGAGACTTTTTCCCACTTAACACTATGAATTTCTTACTATGAAGTGAAAATGGGAGACATGGGCCTGAGCTTTCTAAAGCTAGTGTGAAGGGGCTGGCAGCCTGCTCGTTACCTGGCAACAAGTACTGGCCCATTCTCAGTGGCCTGTGGCTGTTGCTCATGCCAGGCATCTTCCAACCATTTTCAGTAGCTTCTGGGAGGTGCCCAACTCCATTTACCCATCCATCTATCTTTCCACTCTGTCACTTACTTACCCATTCAACAAAACATTTATCTAGCACTGACATGTGCCAGAGACAGCAGCTGGTCCTTTGACTCCTCTGCTTGTGAGACTCACATTTGGGATTGATCAGCCTCTCAGAGATCATTAGAATAAAGTGCTGATCAGCATTCTCCACAGAAGAAAGAGCTTGGGACAAGACTACAGCTTTCCACTTTGAAGAAAAATATATATATATATATTTTTTTTTGCATAATAAAAGAGCATGTGCTAATAGGAAATTTAGATAAGATAGAAAGCAAGAAACTGAAATCACCCTTAGGGATTATACTGCTCTTAGAATTTTGTGCTCTGAGTGTTTTCATTTACTTTAAACATTTTCCCATTTTGTCCACTACCTCCCCAGCCAGGCATAGATGGCTTCTGAGGGAGTCTGTGGGTACGTTTCAAAAGATCGGATTTTTCCTGCAAGGAACAGTAGAAGTGGAAGAGTCCCCACCCATCTCAGAGTATGGGGAAGAAAGGGAAGCACTATCTTCGGCGCCCATACAGCTTGTGGCTGGTACAGCCTATTCCAGCCTGTGCTGCAGGCTGGGAAACCCTCTGCTAACCACCACAACCCCAGTCCCAAAAGCCCTGGGTAGGGGTCACACTTACCCAAATAGCTCTTTCACTTACTCAACCATCTCATAACAGCTTCCTCCTCCTTCCTTTCATGTCTCCACAGTGTATACAAGTGTGCTGTGTCTGCTCTTGAATTTTGTGAATCAGTAGTACCCTTACATGGGGCTAGAGTGATGGCTCATTGAAGAGCGCTTACTGCTCTTCCTGAGAACCCAGTTTTCCAGCACCCAGGTCTGGCAGCACACAACAGCCTGTAACTCTAGCTCCAGGAGATCCAGTGTCCTCTTCTGACCTCTATGGACACCCTCACACATGTAGCATACACTTACACACATATGCATGAACAAAAATAGATCTTGTTTTTTAAAAATATAAAATATGACTCAGTAGTTAAGAGCATTGGCTGTTCTTGTGGAAGACCTGAGTTTGGTTCCCAGCACCCACATGGTGACCAACAACCTTATAACTCCAGTTCCAGGGGATCTGATGCCCTCTTCTGCCCTCCCCAGGCATTGCACAACACAAGTACACTTACATGCAGGCAAAACACTCATACACAAAAAATAAAAATAAATAAATTTTTACAATAAAATGAAATAATAAATGTAAAATACCTAGTGAACAGTCTCCTTTCCCCTTTGTCTAGTTCTGTCCCTCACATATAAACACAGTCACTAGTTTTTGATGGGATTTTCCAGAGATATCCATGTATAGGAAAATTTGCACACTACAAACCCCACCCCTCTTTGCTTTTGCAATCCTAGGAATGGACCCCAGGGCCTTACAAATGATAGGTAGGGACTCTTACCAGTGAGCTATACTCCCAGCCCCACTCCTCTTTTTAAAAATTGAATTCTAGCCAGGTGTAGTGGTGCATGCCTTTAATCCCAGCACTCAGGAGGCAGAGGCAGACGGATCTCTATGAGTTCAAGGCCAGCCTGGTCTACATAGTGAGTTCCAGGCCAGCTGGGAGACCCTGTCTCAAAAAGACCAAAAAAAAAAAAAAAAAGATTGAATTCTGGGCCTGGGGAGATGGTTCAGTGGGTAAGCATTTGCTGCATAAGTGTGAGAAGCTAAGTTCAAATCCCCAAAACTCTTGTAAAAACCAGACACAGTAACAGGTCTGTAATCCCGGTATTCCTACTGGGAGATGAGAGATGAGGGATGGAGACAGAAGCCCCAAGTACCTCAGCTAGCTAACCTGCCATATGCATCAGCAGAAAAGAAGAGACCGTCTCTCAAACAAGGTGGAAGAAAGTAGTTGAGGGGATGGAGATGGCTCAGTGGGTAAAGGACACTGGTTGTTCTTGCAGAAGACCCGGATTCAAATCCTAGCACCCACATGGCAAACAATTGTCCATAACTCCAGTTCCAGGGGATCCAACAGCCTCTTCTGTCCTCCACGGGCATTGCACGACACGGGTGCACTTACCTACACCCAGGCAATACATACATATGCATAAAATAAAAATAATACATAAAATATGAAAAAAGGAGTTGAATGCTGGCCTGTTATGATGACTATCCATACCATTTACATTTCAGTTTCTCACTCAGCAGTGCTTCAGCTGTATGTCAGTACCCTCTATCTTTAGTATGACTGCACAGCATTGTACATATGGCATGCTAGACACCAGAGACAGACCTTTAGTTTGTTTTTTTTTTTTTCCTCAGTTGTTTCCTATTTTAAAATAATGACTTTGTACATACATTACTTTGTACTTTTGCAAGCATATTTGAGGATTAATCCCTAGGGGTAGAATTGAGGAACAGATGGTATGTGTATCTTTAATTCTCATAGATCTTGCCAAATTACCTTCCATAGGGGTTCTTCCCTCCCACCAACAACATAGCCTGGCAAGAGTTGAACCAATTTGGGCCAAACTGCCCTCTCTGGCCTCTGCAGATCCTATGTCTAGTAGGGCCTGCCTCTTTTGGCTTAGTTGCCTTCTGCCACATATAGTACTATAGTGAGGTATATGTTGCCAGAAGATAGCCAAAGAACAGGCCCATGTTTGCAGAACACTTGCATAAATTCAACGCTACCCTAGGCATGTACAGTGTATCTCTGGCTTTAGGAAGCTTAAGATGTTTGGAGGAAGAATTACACCACAGAAAAAAGGCAACTGCTCTGTCAGTTGTCAGGACAACATGTTCTCTGTGCAGTGTATCTGGTCTCCAGAAGGAAGAATCCTGTGGGTGAGCATGGCTATGAAGTACACAGAGAGGAGGTGGGCCTGGAATGCTGTGAGTGGATAAGGAGCACAGGGAGATGCAAACGAAAAGGACAGCTGCCTCTCTACATTGCCCAAGCTGGTCTCAACTCTTGGGCTTAAGCCATCTTCCCGCCTCAGCCTCCAAAGTAGCTAGAACTAACTATAGTCATACATCACTGCACCAAATTCATAACGTGTATATATAATTCTTATTTTGCCTTTGAGACAGGATCTTGCTATATAGTCCAAGCTGGAGTACAATTTGTGATCCTCCTTCCTCAGCAACCTGAATGCTAGAACTATAAACATGAGCTACCACACCTAGCTGATAACTTCCAATTTTATAAGTATTATAGAAAGCATACTAACAGTCTTAGTTGACAAAACGTATGTAGAACATATGAATATGTAAGTCTTAAGCATATTTAGCCCTTTTTGAATAAATATATTGTATTGACATTGTCCCATGAAAACAATTTGTAGAGATTCCAAGTCATGCTTTTTCCAAATAATCAAAACTTTTTCTTCGTATTTTATAACTAAAGTGAAAAAGGTTGTTTGTAAATGTATATTTCAGTGCTCATAAAACTGGCAAATTTTGAGCAAGAAGGAAGGTAATCTTGTGTGTGTTTCACAAACCCCAGGGAGTCCTGTGTAACCCTCTGGTTGCTATGTAGAATACACATAGCCAACAGGTGAGGCTAGCATAGTGCATCATTCTGGGGTGGACTCAGGAAAGCCCCTAGATAGTCCCAGAAAATGGTTATGAGATGGGGGGGCGTTGGGGGATGGCTGAGTCAGTAAAGCAATATGAAAGACCTGAGTTTGATCCAGTCATGGTAGTACATGCCTTTAACTTGGGAGGCAGAGAGGCACATGGATCTCTGTGAGATCGAGTCCAGCCTGGTCGATATAGCAAGTTCCAGGATAACTATGTCTACAGGGAGATCCTGTCTCAAAAAAAAACAAAAAAGGGGGCTGGAGAATGGCTCAGCATATGTATTGACTGCATGTATGTGAGTGCACCCATGTTGTGCAGTGCCCTAGGAGATTAGAAGAGGATGTTGGATTCCCCTGGAACAGGCATTATGGACAGTTGTTAGGCACCAGGTGGGTGCTGAGAACTGAACCTGGGTCCCCTGCAAGAGCAGCCATTGCTCTTAATCGCTGAGCTACCTCTCCAGCCCCCAATAAAAATATTAAAAAACACAAAAAAATTTTAAAAAGACCTGAGTTTGATCCTCCCAGAACCCGTGTAAAATGTTGGGTGTGGTATCACTCTCTTGTAATACCAGTGCTGAGGAGCAAAGATGGGAGAATCTCTGGAACTCTCTGGCCAGCCAGCCTAACCTAATTGGTGAGCATCAGGCCAATGAGAGACCCTGTCTCAAAGGAGACAGACAGCTTTCCTGAAGAATGATACCTAAAGTTATTCTCTGGCCTCCACACGCACATGAATGCATACATGCATTAAAACAAAAGGGTTATGAGGGGAAAATGAGCCTTTCTGCTCTCTTGGATTAGCTTTCCTATTCTATCAAAATATGGTATTTATGAATTAATCTGGCATTTTACCCATGTTTGCTTCTGTAGGCTAGCTTCCTTTTATGAAGTGGCAATTCCTGAAATGGAGTCTGCAGTCAAGAAGAGGAGACCTGAAGACAGCAAGTGAGGCAGGGACAAAACTAAGAATGTTGCATGGGAAAGGGAAGCCAGCACACAGGCTGGGCCGTCACAGCTGTGGCATCCTCACTGCTAGGACAAAGGGTGGGACCAAGGACCAGGACAGCTTGGGCTTCTAGTTCTATGTCTTCTGACCTGTTTTGTTTTCCTGAGGTCTTAATTTTATTTTTATATGTGGTGCAGTGAAGTTGGGATCTTGTGCATGTTAAGCACATGTTCTAATGCTGAGCTGTGCCCCTAGCCCTTAAGGTTTTTTGGTGGGTTTTTTTTGGTTTTTTTTTTTTTTTTTTTTTTTGTGAGCCAGGGTCTCCCTGTAGCCCCAGCTGTCCTGGAACTCACTATGTAGACCAGGCTGGCCTTGAACTCACAGAGATCCACCTGCCTCTGCCTCCCGACAGCTGGGATTAAAGGTGTATGCCACCATGCCTGGCCAGCCCTTAAGGTTTTTTAAAAATATGTACTCTGTGAGGATTTGTGTGAGGACCTATTTAAATACTAAGTGCACTAAGGACATTGGTCTCAGAGTCTTGCTTGACAACTAAGTCCATTTACTCAGTTCCCCCCACACCCCAAATCCTGGTATGGTAGTTACTAGGATGGCTAGTCCCTGCCTTGAAGCCCTCTCCTTTACCTCAGTTGCTTCAAGCTCTTGGTAACTGACCTTGCTGTTTCTGACCCTCTTTTTAACTGAGAAGTGGCCCTAAAGCCAGATAGCTACTCACTATCTATAGCCTTTTCTCAACTGCTCCCAAGATGACCTGTAAGACTACCTCAGCTGTGCTGGAAGAAGTTTCATGGTGCCTTCTGTCTCATAAGTCTACTTCTCTTCTCCCTGGCCTTTAAAGGCTGCTGGGCGACATGTGGCAGAGGCTCTCCCATTCCAAGAAGAAGCTAATGGAGGTGTTTCACATCATCCTGAACCAAATCTGCCTCCTTCCCATCCTAGAGAGCAGGTAAGCACCAAGGAGCAGTCTCCACACCCAGCAGGTGCATTCTCATCACCCTTCCTTGGCTCCTCCCTTGCTCTTCATTTGCTAAACCTTGAGTTTCCAATAGGAAACTCAGAAAAAAAATGCATTTTTCCAACTAGCCAGACTCTTGCAGAAGAGCAGGGTGAGCATGCAAAGGACCTGCAGATAGTCTTATATTACATGGGCTTATCTGCCCTCATGTTCTGTTTCAGCTGTGACAACATTCAGGGCTTCATTGAAGAGTTCCTTCAGATCTTCAGCTCCTTGCTGCAGGAGAAGAGGTGAATAGGGCTGAGCTGGGAACAGTTGTGGGACAGGCCCATGACCCTCCCTCCAGTCCCCATGATGCCTTACATTGTGAGCCCCTGATACATGCTCTCCATGGCCCAGTGGTCTGGAGCTTTGGTTGGGTAGCAGAGCTATGGGGTGGCCTGCAGTAGGATGGTGTCCTTGTAGCCCCAACCCTGACCCTCCTTTCTGTGCTCTGCCCTTCAGGTTCCTCCGGGACTATGACACACTCTTCCCTGTGGCTGAAGATATCAGCTTGCTGCAGCAGGCCTCGTCAGTCTTGTATCCTACTACAGCCCACTGGGCCAGGGCTGGTCCAGGTCAGACATGGCCTTCTGGGACCCAGAGGGGCAGAGAGAGGTTGGCCCCAGAACATGAAGGTTAGCCAGCTGTTGCTAGAGGCCTGCTAAGGCCCCAGTTCCTCTTTTTCTAGAAGAGATAACTGCTCTGATGCTTGGGGCAAAGCGAATTCTACTTTCTGTAGATGTCTTCTGAGGGTCTGGTCTGGGTAACCAAGGTGAACTCCAGCCACCTTCTTGGACCTCATTGTAGAGATAAGAAAAACACATAAACAGGCAGTTAGAAAGTGTCATATGAGAGGAAGTCAGACAGCACCTCATGTAGCAGAACCCAGAATAGGCATCAGATGAAAGTGACATCCAAGACAAAAATAGAAGGAACAGAACATAGCCTGGCCTCACCTCTGGGTGAATTCAAGAGTGTTACTAGAATCTGGAAGACAGAAAACTGGATCTTTGAAGAATCCTGCAGTGTCATGTTCAGAGTACAGGGTGTGGCTGTGTGTGGGAAAGGGGGTCTTCACAAGAGGCTGGTGGGGATATGGCAGGTGAACTGGTGCTGACATGTTTAAGGCCCTTGTGTGACTCTTTTGAAGAAGTTTGGGCAATATGCTATAAGCATTGGGGAGTATGGAAGGCTGGGAAGCAGGAGTGACATGGGCTGTCTACACTGTGGAAAGCTCCATTCAGCTGTGGGAAGAGAATGCCCTAGCCTGGGGACCACTGGGGCCTAAGAAGGCTGCTATAGACATCCCTGTATGGATCATGGGGGGTTGGAATAGAAATAGAGAGATGGCATTGGAAACAAGTCAGATTTCTGGCCCATAAGTACCCAGGGTAGTAGAGAGAAAGGAGGAATAGGGAGGAGCTGGCCTGTGAGCCATTTCTGTTGCTAGAGTAGATTCAGTCCTGCCTCAGGGACCTCCTGAGGGCCATTTGGTGGATAGGAAGTCCAGTGACAGTGCTCCTGTTGGCTCTCCTGGCCATCAGAGCAAAAAGGTAGCTATTGGATCATCTAAACACCCAGGACACTGACAGTAACCCCCAACCCCATCAACCCAGAGCTGCTCTCTGCTGAACAGCAGGTGTTGGTATTCAAGGTATGTGTATCAGTAGTCTAGGCTGCAGTTCCATACAGCCCAGGGGCCCATGACACTCATTGGGTCAGGCCCTTAGAAAAAAATCACATGGTCAGATGGTAGACAGGGACTGAGAAGTTATACTGCCCCAGAGCTAGGGAGGTGGGTTCTGAGCAAAAGAGCCCTTAACACATCCTCGTAGGGACGAGACTCGAACTGCCTATATCCTACAAGCTGTGGAAAGTGCGTGGGAAGGTATGGACAGACAGAGAGTCAAGGACATTAAAAACCCATCCAGGACCAAGGATCCTAATAACAGAGTCACAATGACAGCAGAGCTAGTCAGTGAAATGCCGTCAGGCATGGAAAACTCGGAGGAGGATGAGGAGGTATGTGTCTTGAAGCTCCCTTCCCTAATTCCTCAGTCCCTCCTGGCCACCTCTTGAGAGATGGAATGACCAAGCTCCCTTGCTTTTCCTTGCCTTCAGGGAAAAGGGTTCTTTTAGGATTGATGGCCTCCAGCAATGGGGCTGGTTATATTATGTTTAGTGGGGCCTCTGCCAATTGTACTAGACTGGATAGGAGAAGAGACCAAGGCCCTTAAACCCTAGGAGCTGGGGTTTGTTCTTTCTTTCTGTTGTTTTGAGACAAGGTATCTCACTCTGTGGTCCAGGCTAGCCTTGAACTGAATCCTTCTATCTCAGCCTCCAAGTACTGGGATTACAGGCATGCACTACCATGCCTGGTCCTATTTCCCTATAAGAGGTGAAGTATAGACTCCTTACTTAGGCTCCTCTCCATGCCCCAGGTCAAAGTGGAGGTCCTTTCATGAAAGCTTGGAGTGGTGCCTGGCCCAACTTACTTAGCCTCCCTAGAATCACAGGGCTCCTGAACAAGGTAGGAAGCCTTCAATCTAGAGCTTCTTCTCCAGGCTTTTCCAGATCTGGCCAAGCCTGTACTAAATGGCCATGGAGCCCAGGACCTCTGCCTGTGGGGTACAGGCATGGAGACCATACAGACTCAGGACAGGCTGCTCAGGGTGACCTGTTCTGCTGCCAACTGTGTATCTTACATCCAGCCTAGTTCCTCCTCTGTAAGTAGGGATAGATGCGGTACCCACTTCTAAAAAGTTGTTGGGATTCCTAAAGCTGCTTCACGGAACATTCTGAGTTCATCTGGGCCCCAGTGCCCCATTAATAATGCTAGTATTCTTCCTGTTAGACCCCAGACACCATAATTCTCCTAGAGCCTCAGAGAACAACTTCCTCCATCTTTTCCCACTTTCTTCCCCATTTGGCTTCTTACCTGAGTCATGGAAGATCGTTTTTAAAAAAAAAAAAAAAAAAATTTATTGTATTTTATTTTTATGTATGCCTACATGTGTATAAGTGCGCCTATGTTGTGCAATGTCCACAGAGATCAGAAGAGGGTGTTGAATTTCCCTGGAACTGGAGTTACAGGCAGTTGTTAGCCACCATGTGGGTGCTGGGAATTGAACCCAGGTCCTCTGCAAGAGCAGCCAGTACTCTTAACTGCTGAGCCGTCTCTACAGCCCTCATAGAGGATCTTTATTATCATCGTGATCATCGTTGTTGCTGGGAACCAAACCCAGGACTTTGCTCATGTTGCACAAGTACTCTATCACTAAGCCATACCCCCAGCCTTTTGTTGTTTTGATTTTCCAATTTCCTTAAAAAGCATTATAAAATGAAGCTACATCTGGCAGTATGTAAAATGAATTCTCCTTACTGAAAAGAATGTTACTAAAAGGGCTATACCTCCACATGATCTAGCCAGTGGTTGCTGTTGCCCTCCATTCTGTCACCTTGGTAGAGGTGGGAAAGGACCTTGATCGCTGACACATGGCCATTATGGAAGCTCTAATGCACACCAGGTACTGTGCTCTGTGGGTAATGTGCATCACTTTATTGAACCATTCGAAACAACTCCATGAGGTAGATGGTACTGTGTCTATTTCCTAAGGAGAAAACACATTCAGAGAGCAGAAGCACAGTGCTCAAAATCATACAGGCAGGGTTAGCTCAGGAAATCACAGAGCTCTTTTCACAAAGGGGAAAAGCAGAAGCTCAAGAGATTTAAGTCACTTGGCTAACATCCCACAACTAGGAGGGGCAGGGCCAGGGACCCTGGTGTCAGGGCCAGTGCTGTCTGGGGACTCTTGCCCTTTCATCTGCCCAACTTAGCCATCCCCTCCATCACTCTGGCTCTAACTGCAGTGCATGGGCGCAGCAGCTGCCCTGGGCCCTACTGTGTGTGGTGTGGAGCTGGACTCACTCATCTCCCAAGTGAAGGACCTACTGCCAGACCTTGGGGAAGGCTTCATCCTGGCCTGCCTGGAACACTACAGCTACGACTCAGAGCAGGTGATCAACAACATACTGGAGGAGCGGCTGGCCCCCACCCTCAGCCAGCTGGACCGCAGCCTAGACAGGTAGGAGAAACAGTTTGGTAAGGGTCCCCTTTCCCTGCCTGCCATTCTCTTTCCCCAGAGCCCAGGACTCAGCTTGCTCCTTCTTCACAGCAGTGTTTCCCAACAGTTTGAACTAGTGCTCTCTTCAGAGAAAGAAAACTGGGGGCCTACAGAGGTTCTCAGCATACAGCCAGGTGTCCCTACAGGACCTTGTAGGAAGACTTATTGGAGACTAGTGATGTGACAGGACTGCCAAGCCCTTCAGAATTCCTAAGTTTCTGACCTGTCCCATCCTTCCCACATTCCCAGCAGATTTCTAAGTTAGGATGGCCAAAGCTGTTCACTTTCTCTGTGCTGAATGGTGTGGGTTTGGCCCATGGTTGCCCCAAAACCCTCACAGGACAGCAGGAACAGGACTACAAATGGATGTTTCTTATATAAACAAATAATATTTGCCAAATGAATGAATGAATGAATGAAGTTAGCTTTGTGCCTTTGTACACATTTCTCAGCCTCTTTGTGCTCCATTTTACCCTTGACAGTGCTGAGGCACAAGGAGGTAAATTGGGAGCCTAGGGTGTAGCTCAGTGGAAAAGCACATACTAAGCATGTGCAAAGTTGTAGATTATATCCCTAATACCAAAAACAAGCAGAGAGAGGTGGGGAGTTGAGTAACCTATGACTCCCTGTCTCACAGGGGCATTGTGAGCATGAAATGAGGAATGGAGCTTTGAAGAAACAGAAACTGATATGCCTGGCACACGGGGAATGAGGGGGTGCTTTGAGGTGTGACTGTGGACTCATACCAGGAGCCAGGTCAGGCAGAACCTTGTCTCTCCCATTAAAGGTCTTCAGCTTATGTCCTAGGGGTAGCTTTTGAAATAGAGTGAACAATCTGATGGGTAGAACATAGTGGGGCCATGAGGTACAGGTAGGTTCAGCAGTCAGGGCTCTTTCAGTTGATTTCTGTGCTGTGGCCCTCAGACAAGTGAAGCCGGACCCCACACCCCTGCTGACATCTCGTCACAACGTCTTCCAGAATGATGAATTTGATGTGTTCAGCAGGGACTCAGTGGACCTGAGCCGAGTACACAAGGGGAGAAGGTGAGTATAGCAGGACGCAGGGCTCTACACTCCAATTATGGAGGTGTGGAAGGAAAGCAAAGACCTGTCTTTACAGAACTAGTCATGGGCATTCCATTCCAGGGTCCTTTTGAAGCCTGGCCTTGCACACTGCCAGCCTGCAGGAGCAGGTTCTTTAATGATGTACTTCAGGCTCCAGCTATGTGGGGAAGGCTGTTAGTGAAATCTCCTTGTTGGTGGCAAAAGGCCAGGGGGTCAAATCCGTCCCCTTTTTTCTTCCTATTATCTTTTGATATGTGGACCATTGACACTGGGTTGTAGAGCTAGATAGTGCTTTTCAGAAGCTACTCATTGGCCTGATTGTCTCTAGGCTGTGACAAAATAAGAAAATTAAGGATTCACACTAGTGAGCTTTTCTAAGGGTAAAAAAATTCCATTTTAGGGCCTTTTTTTAATTTATTATTTTTATTTTATGTGTATGAGTGTATTGCCTGCATGTAGGTAAGTACACCATGTTGTGCAATGCCCGTGGAGGACAGATGAGGCTGTCAGATCCCCTGGAACTGGGGTTATGGACAGTTGTTAGCTGCCATGTGGGTGCTGGGATTCAAACCCTGGTCTTCTGCAAGAACAACCAGTCTTCTTAACCACTGAGCCATCTCACCAGCCCCAAGGCCCTTTTTTTTAGTTTATGTCCTTCCTACTTTTTCAGCATAGAAAAATCCATTCGTGACCTATTCATTCATTCAGCAAATATTTACCTGGCACTTACAGCCTTAGATTCAAGGCCCTGGATTAATTTGGTTCTGGAGCTGTAGTGGGGTGTGAAGCAGACACAGCCCACGTCCATGTGGAGTTTGCATTTTTCAGCTCATCAAACAAGCAGCATCACATAGATATTACAGGTGCTACAAGGTGGAGGTAGGCAAGCTCCTGGCCTTTGGTAGAGGCTTCAGTCCAGACAGGAAGTCTCCTCTGAGAAAGTGACTGAAAGCTGAAGGATGTGCAGGAGTCAGTTCTACAAAGCAGAGAAGCAACTTCCCTAGCAGAGTGAGCAGTAGGAAAGTGGCTCTAAGGCCATTTGTGAGTGTGGTAAAGCACCCATGAACTCTGGAGTTTTAAATTTTTGGAAAGGTCATCCAAGCCATGCGTGGTGATGCATGCCTTTAATCCCAGTACCTGAGGGGCAGAGGTAGGCAGCACTTTGTGAGTTTGAGGCCAACCTGGTCTATGTAGAGAATTCCAGACCAGCCAGGGTTACATAGTGAGACCCTGTCTTTAAAAAAAAAAGTCGGCCGGGCGTGGTGGCACATGCCTGTAGTCTCAGCACTTGGGAGGCAGAGACAGGCAGATCTCTGTGAGTTCAAGGCCAGCCTGGTCTACATAGTGAGTTCCAGGACAGCTGGGGCTCTAGGAAGACCCTGTCTCAAAAAAGACAAAAAAAAAAAAAAACAGTCACCTAGACTGAGCATGGTGGCTCATGCCTTTAATCCCAGCACTCAAGAGGCTGAGCTAGGAGGATTTTCTGGACTTCATAGTGAGTTCCAACCCAGCCTGGGCTTCAGGTAAGACCCTGCCTCAAAAACAAAGAAATGAAAATAAATCACCAGCTTTGGAATCCTACCCTTGGGAAGGATCAGGTGTCAGTAATGGTGGCAGAGAGAATGACAGCCAAGTGAAGAATGGCCCCCAAAAGACGTTAGTCTCTGTATCAAACTTCCATAGTGGTGTTGGTTCATGGAACCCAGAAATCCTGCAGCTCATGCTGTCACCATTGTAATGATGGAGCAAGGGGGTCAAGAAGGAGAAGAGGCTGCCATTCTTGTGGCCCTCTTCTGATAAGAACCCCAGGGCAGAAGTGTCAGTTGCTACTTCAGTTAGGGCCCAAGGTTGTTCCCCTTCCATAGGCTGTACCATGCCAGATGCTTCCTGGCTGAGAGCCTAGGGAGCAGGCCCAAGGAAGCTCTGGAGCCATCTGGATGAACAGGAAGCCCTAGCAAACTGCTTAGTCACTCACATTGTGACACCTGTAGATCCCAGGTAGCATTATTATCCCCCATCTGTGGCTGCTGTGAGGGAGGACCAAACAGGGTCCCCTAGGCTAACAGAAAGTTTTACACCTTTTCAGCCCAGGGAGCCTGATTGGTAGGTCCCTCCACAGAGCTTAGCATCTGTTTCCCCTTGACCTTCATCTGTTATTTGCACAGGGCACGCCTAACCCCAACCTAGACTGTAGGTCACCTGTGAGCACTTGGCAGGGGGCTGCTCCCAGCTGTCAGGGTCATCAGAAAGGCTGAAGTATGAAGTAGCCAGGTGCTCTGAGGAGTGTGCCTCATTCCTGGGACACTCTGGCTGCCAGCGAAGACTAGATGACCAGTGTTTACCAATCCCACTCTTCTGGGCAGCTCAGGGGCAGGGATTGCAGAGGCAAAGCCTCTGTTCATGTGTTCAGTATTTACTCACTCAGCAAATATTTATTAAGTGATTTACTAGCACCAGATCCTGTGCAAGACACCAAGGAAACAGGGTGAGTAGGGCACCTGGGCTTTGCCCTCAAAGGGCAGAGACCGTGAGAAAAACCATTAAACAAGCAAGTCTTAGGTGCATCAGGAGTTCAACAGGAACACCTGTCCTAATCAGGGAAATGTGGGAAGCTGAGTCTCTGCCCTCAGGTAGCAGGTGGGAAGTTAAGTAGCATAAGGCAAATCATACCTGTGTGTACTTTTGCATACAACAGCTTTGGTAGCAGGGGCAGTGGGGGGCATCCATTCCTCTTCACACAACAAGCTGCAGGAGGCAGAGAGGGGCTTGGTTAGCCCATGATATTTGTTTGGTAACATACACCAAATTTCTGTAGTCTTTTGGGGCATTGGCTTGAAGATCAAGTGGTCCTTTGGGGTTCTAAAGGGGCTGCAGCTATTTGGACTCTAGCTTCCAGAAATCATAATGCCAAGAGAAAGCCCAGACTAGGTGTTCCTATCTCTTATCTTTTATTAGGGCCTTGCACAAACTGAGCAAGTGGTCTACCAATGAACCACATCACCAATCCCTGTCTCTTAACAGCTTGCCCAGAAGTTTCCAGATTCTTCTCATGTCTCATCAGTAGAACTGAGTCACAGGGCCAGGTCTTGAGGCTATAATGTGGAATGAAAAGTTAGAAAGATCTGAACATGAGCATCTGAACTGGACCTAGTAGGTCACACAGTCCCAGCACTTCAGAGGCTGAGACAGGAGGATTTAGAGTTTGAGGCCAGCCTGAGCTACATCATGAGATCCTGTTTCAAAACAAACAAGCAAAAAAAAAGTGAAAATCTGTTAGGAGGGTGACCCAGGGTAGAGGATAGCTGTTGATTAAACACCAGGCCCCTTGCTAAAGGTATGTGTATCCTAGTCAGTGAAGGAAGGTATGTGCATAAGCTGTGAGATCCCCAAACTCCTTTGAACTGTTCCACCGTACACTGGAAGATAACAAGTGCTTTTCCTCAGCAAAGGTTCTATGACCAGAAATGTCTGCATTTTATCTGCCTCTTGAGAAGCACAGAGCATATTAACATGTAAGACTGACACGTCAAAGAAACAGAATTCATTTTATTGAGCCAGAAGATGCTGGGTCCACTTCTGTATCTTTTATGTTTTCTTTTTTCATTGTTTTTTTTGTCTGTCTGTTTGGGGTTTTGTTTTTAGTTTTGTCTCTATGTAGCCAAGTATGCTCTTGAACCCCTTATCTTTCTATTTTTATCGCTCAAGCACTGGGATTACAGTGTGTGGCACTATGCCCAGCTTCTCCACATCATCTTATTTTTCTTTTTTAATATTTTACTTATTTTTAAAATATTTTATATATTATTTTTATTTTATGTGTATGAGTGTATTGCCTGCATGTGAGTGTACCCATGTTGTACAATGCCACAGAGGTCAGAAGAGGGCTTCAGATTCCCCTGGAACTGGAGCTATTTTTATGTGTATGTGTGTATTGTCTGAATGTAGGTAAGTGCACACGTCGTGCAGTGCCCACAGAGAGACAGAAGAGGCTGTTGGATGCCCTGGAACGAGTTATGGATAATTGTTAGCGTCCACGTAGGTGCTGGGATTCGAACCCAGGTCTTCTTCAAGAACAACCAGTATTCTTAACTGCTGAGCCATCTTTCCAGCCCCACATCATCTTACTTGATTCTTTTCTCGCCCCTGGGAAGTGAGCACTGCAAGAAGAACCAAGTTTTTTGTTTTGTTTTTTAAGACAGCATCTCACTTATGTAACCCTAGCTGCCTGGCTGGCCTAGAACTCACTATGTAGACCAGGCTGGCCTCAAACTCACAGAGACCCACCTGCCTCTACTTCCCGAGTGGTGGGATTAAAGGCATGTGCCACCATGCCTGGCTTGAAACTAAGATTTAATGAGAAGAGGGGACGTGACTGTGGTCACACAGCTTGGGAAGTGGTTGAGCAAGCCTGAGTCAGGAGACCTGTACCTGGCCCTGAATTTTCTTTTAAAGCTGTGTGACCCTGGGAAGGTTTTTCTGCCTTTCTGAATCCCATGACTTCCTCACATGGAAGAAATGAGGTGTTTGTTGTCTCTGCAGGCCCCTAAGGATCTGTTTGAGATGGGCTTTTCAGAACAGGATTGAGGAAATGAAGAGAGAAAAGGTGACCAGTTTCAGGGGAGCTGGCGTGGTCCCTGGGCTTGTAGGGCACCAAGACTGCAAAGACAATCTCTCAAGCCCCTGTTGCCTATTTCTAGACTAGAATGAAGGTCTGCTTTGTAAACAGCTTTTTTTGCCCCCAGCTGCTTATGCTGGGGGTTTTATTTTCCTTCTGGATCCAAATCAAGAAAAGGAAGCAAAGTTGAAACTTCCTATACAGACTGCCCAGGCTCCAGGCTCTGCTACCTTTGTCCTCTCAGGGCCTAGGTGTTGTGGGTGGAAGTTGGCACCTCCATCTGGCCCTGTCACAGAGCCATATAACCAGAGACTACCAAGCATGCAAGAACTGCCTCACTGCCCAGAACCAGAGATGAGAGGGATCTGGAGACTGAGGGGGCTGCCACAGGACAGTGACACTTTCCTTCATTCCTTGACCCTGGCCCAGCATAGATCCTGGTTTCTGGTAGGCCCTCAGGAAGCATGGCTGAATGCATAGATGTTTTCTCACTTGTGGCACTAGCCACTTGGATAGACTTGGGCCCCCTTTCACTTTTTTTTCTTTTCTGCAACCTGGCAAAGAGATCCAGGAGCATGCCAGGGAGCATGCCAAGGTTATGATCACAAGCCCCCAGGTCCCAACCCTGGCAGCTGGGAAAGATTCCTGGCTTTTTCATTGTTGTATTTGTTTGTTTGAGATGAGGGTCTCTCATAGCCTAAGCTGGCCTCCAACTTACTATATAGCCAAGGATAACCTTGAATTCTTGATCCTCCTACCTCTGCCTCAAGTGTTGAGATTATAGGCATGTTCTATCACACTTGGCTTTATCTTTTGTGGGGTTTTTTTCGGGGGGGGGGTTGTTTTGTCTTTTTTTGTTATTTTGTTTGTTTTGTTTTTTGTCTTTTTGAGACAGGGTCTCCTTGTAGCCCCAGCTGTCCTGGAACTCACTATGTAGACCAGGCTGGCTTTAAATTCACAAAGATCCGCCTGCCTCTGCCTCCCAAGTGCTGGGATTAAAGGCGTGTGCCACCACGCCCAGCCTTTGTTTTGTCTTTTTTGAGACAGGGTTTCCCTTTAACCCCAGCAGTCCTGGAACTCACTATGAAGACAAGGCTCAGAGATCTGCCTGCTTCTGACTCCCGAGTACTAGGATTAAAGGCATGTACCACCACACCCGGCTGCTTTTTTGAGATGGGATCTCTGTGGCCCAGGCTGGCCTTGAACTCCTGACAATCCTCCTTTCTCAGCCTCCCAAGTGCTAGGATAGACATTGAGCCACCATAGCCAGCAAAGTTTCCTGTTGACCAGGGTTTTTCTTAGATCTAAATCAAATGCACCATCCTTTCAGTCCTACTGTGGGGTTCCTGGTGCAGTCTTTACTCTCCTGCCATCAGATTTCTTTACCCCCTCCTCCAGATCGGTACTGGGGATCAGAGTCAGGGCTTGCTTCTGTCTCTGTCAGGGCAAGCATGTTCAGCACATTTTGTGCCTGTCTGTCACCCCTACGCCACTGAAAGTCCATGAGGACAGAAGCATGAGTCTATAAGTCCACACTCTGCCTTAGACCCAGGCTGGCACATAGTAAATCCTTAATAAAGACTCACAGGGCAGCAAAGCCTTACCAACCACACATAGGCCACAGTCCCCACCTGCCTCAGGCTCCCAAGCAGACAGTCCAACAAAGTCAAATACCCTCCATCTCCTAAAGCCAGTTAGTAGAAGCAGAAAGCTGTGTAGGGCTTTGTGTCTCATTTTTCCTTCTCCCTACTCTTGATATGTTCCAAAGACCCAATTTCATAGCTAAGCTGGATTTTCTTGTCTGGCATCTCGAATTGATTTTCCCCTGCAGAGCCAAAAACTGCATTCCACAGGCCTGCATATACAGCTGACAAGCCAAGTTTCTCTACAGGTTTGCAAAGCTATAGTCAAGAGACCTGAAGCTCTGCTGCTGCTGTGATATACAGTTCAGTGTGACCCAGGTGTGTCCCCTCCCCATCCATTGCACCCAGCTATCCTCACTTACAACATGACTGATGGCAGTTGAACTACCAGACTTTCCTCCCACTGTACTCTTATGTGGAAGCTGGCACTGTGGAAGGCTGCTATTGTGAAGGAGGTGAGAGGAAGAGGCCAGAACTCCTCCTTGCCTCACACCCAAGAGTTCCTGGAGCTCCTCTGGGCTTAGTACAAAAGCCACATGTGGCCTCAGTGTGGTCTGAGGTACAGAGAAGTGAGCCCAGCATCTTTCTGGACCTTTCACACCCTACAGTCTTCTAGGCCTGATGGTGTCCTCTCTCTCTCCCTGCTGTCCCTGGCCTCAGGAAGGGAGAGAATGTGCGGAGCCTGGTGAATGACAAGCGGGCGGTGGTGGAGCAGCGGCAGCGCTACGAGCAGTACAGTGTGGTCGTGGAAGAGGTAGGCTGCCCACGCTGGGCCTCTGCTGGATGTGGGAAGTCCAACAGGCCCGCAGACTCTGACCCATGCTGACACTGTTGCAGGTCCCACTGCAGCCAGGGGAGTACCGAATCGATGATTACGAGGATGAGTATGATGACACGTATGATGGCAACCAGGTGGGCGCCAATGATGCAGACTCAGATGATGAACTCATCAGCCGCAGGTGAAGTATAAGGCAGGCGTCCCAGCTCATAGTAGCTCTGTGACCTGGGGAGCTCTACTGATGAAGCTAAGGCCTCCCCTATAGCTAGGCCTCCCACTTCCCAGTCCAGAACTCCTGTACCCCAGCCACCATAAGTTGGGAAGCATTTATTTAGTCTTACCAAGTTGTTTTGCATTTTTCTTAAGTGCAGAACACTTTTCCCAGTGGAATCTTAGAGAGACCCCCCAGTGTAGATCAAAGCAGGCCTTCTCTAATGAACAAGAAGACTGGTGAGCCCCAGCTGATGTCCCCCGCTGCTTGACCCCATCAGAGAATCTGGGGGCTAGAGCAAAGCAGGCTTGGAAAGCCCTGTGGGTTTTCCTGACTTCCCCTAGGCTGGAGGCTGTTCTTCAGGTATAATCCAGTGTTTGATCTCACTTTCTCTCCCAAACCTCAGGCCCTTCACCATCCCCCAGGTGTTGAGAACCAAAATGCCTGGAGAAGGGCTGGAGGAAGAAGATGAAGAGGAGGAGGAGGCTGAAGATGAGGCCCCCAAGGTAGCTCCTGGGGGCAGATAAAAAGGATGTAGTTCTGAAGGGCAAATCAGGAGCTTTGTACCACCCCCCTGGCCCTGGGGTGGTCCCAACATCACTGCTGGGGTGGGGAGGGTCCCTTTGAGCCCAGGCTGTCTGTTTGGAGAGATACTGGCTTAGATCTCCTCTCCACTGCCCAAGGAGTACCCAGGGGACAATTGAGAGGTTTGGCCTTTGCACTGCAGAGCTCATCAGGCATAGGGGGCTGGGAGAAGGGCAGCTGTTGGCTGTCGTGCTTAGGATACCAATTCTTAAAATCAGAGAGAACATAGAGCCCAGAGGCTCTGGAGGTCAGCTGGACCCAGTGGATTTGAAAATTCAGTTTTAGCCAAACTTTCACTTCAACTGAAATCTTAACTAGAACCTCAACATAGCAAATGGATAAAAAGTGATCTTTCTCATTTTGAGGTGACAACAGCTGGCACCCTGTCTTGGAAAGGAGATGAATTGAGGTGTTTCTGGGGCCTGGTCACCAATGACCCTTGTGGAAGGCCTGGTAGAAACTGGCATGAGTGGTGGGAAGTGCAGGCCCTGCCATAGGACTTTCAACCACTGTGCCCCATACCTTCCTTCTCCCCAGCCTGGTGTTAGTCTGGACTTGAATGTGAAATCTACCATCTTTCCATATCATTGATTCCACTCATTTGCATTTAGATTTTTTTTTTTTAAAGATGTGCTGGCTGTAAAAGCCTGTGTGAGTCCTGATGTTTCAGCTTTCCTCTGCCCAGGTCCACTCTGGGCATAGAAAGCTGTGCTCAAGAGCAACTCTCACAAGTACCCTGCTGCTGGCACCAGAGTGAGACCTGGCTCCTAGCTCTCAGAACAAGCCTGTTTCTGCTCAGCTTTCGTGGCCTTATGTGTCTTTTCCCAGTGGCTATTTCAGCCAGCATCCCCATATATACTGCCACATCAGCAGATGCCACATCATCATATACATGATACCACATCATCATTATACACAACTATGGTCCTTCTACCCTACCAGCCCACCCCACATCGTTTCAGCTGTCTTGCCTCCTGACGGAAGCCTTAGTGGGTAGCTGGCAAACCTTGTTCTGGCCATAGCCCTGCCTGCTGCAGCAGTCCATACCGTACATGATGCATCAGCATGGCCCCACACAGCCTCAGGAAGTAGAAAAGCTCATGATTCCAGATCTTGTCTCCTTTTCCCTGTGCAGCTGGATCATTTCATACAGGATCCTGCAGTGCTGAGGGAGAAGGCTGAAGCCAGGCGCATGGCCTTCCTCGCCAGGAAGGGGTGAGCATTCAAGGGGCTAATTCTCCTGGAAGGGGACTCATCAGGGAAGGTCAGCTGACCACAAAGGAAACACACACACATACGCACACAAACCCCAGAGGATTCTTTAGTAGTAATTCAGCTCTCGAGATAACCCTCAGAAATAGCTATGATTATCATTGTCTACAGTTTACAAATGAGGACACTGATGGCCCAGAGACATTAACTAACCCACCAGAGGCCACACAGCTATTAAGTGGTACCTAAAGATTGATGCCAGTCTAGGCACAGAGGGCAGTCTAGGCACAGGAGGATATGCCTATAGTCTTAGCTACTTGGGAAGCTGAAGCAGAGGATCATTTGAGGCCTTGAGTTCAACACCAACCTAGGCAATATAGCAAGACCCTGTCATAGAAAGAGCTGGCCCCAGGTATTGGGGCTGGAGAGATGGCTCAACAGTTAAGAGCACTGATGGCTCTTGCAGAGGACCTGGGTTTGATTCCCAGCACCCACATGGCGGCTACGAACCATCCTTAACTCCAGTTCCAGGGGAATCTGAAGCCCTTTTCTGATCTGGGCAGCATTGCACAACATAGGTGCATTCACATACATGCAGGCAATATACTCATACACATAAAATAAAAATAATAAATAAAATATTTTTTAAAAAAAGAGAGGCAGGCATCACAGAGTAAGTTTGTAATCCCAGTACTCAGGCGGAAAAGACAGGAGGATCTCAGGTTCAAGGGAGTACAGTGAGACCCTGTCTCAAAAGCAAACAAAGAGACAAAAGGTTGATCTCAGATGGCTGGGCCTTGGGTTCCACCTCATATCTGTTACTTGACAAGCAGTATGAGGTCTGTCACTCAGTATGGGAAGCCAGCATGTCCAGGGCTAGCTGGTGTCAGGCAGAGTATACAAGAACCCAGGCAGAAAACATAACCTGGAAGTAGAGTCATGGTAGGGACACAGGAGCACTTGAGCTAGGTCCTTAAGGATAGAAAGGGTGAGAAGTTTGTCATGTAAGAGACCAGCAAACACAAGCATACTCAGGGAGAGGGTCTTTAACAGGTATTCCTGAGACTTCTGTGTCCAGCTCTCTCTTCTTCCCAGTGAAGAAACTGACCAGAAGGGCCAAGGGTAGAAGCCCAGGCCAGAGGTAGAAGTCCAGTCTTCCTCCTAGGCCTCTTCAGCACCACCCTCTGGTATAAGAGGGCTTAATGAAGAGAAGGCATTTGGATTTCTTTCTGAAGGCAATTAGGGAGTCACAGAAGGTTGTTGATCAGAGAGTAAAGCTAGTCTGACTTATCTTCCATCCCCCAGAACGTAAAGCTGTGGGCAAATCCCAGTGGCTGAGATGGGCTGAAGAGATCCTTGATCATTTCTGAGCATTATGGTCTTTGGAGGCCACTAAGTTAGACCCTTGGATATAGAATAGCAATATTGTCTCATCTCCAACAGAGGCCCTGGTGGCAGAGGGTGGGGACCCAACCACTTAGTTTACTAGGTGTTCATGCTCACAGATGAGTAATGAACCTGTCTGGAAACGAGACTCAGGAAAACTTGAGGTGAAGGGCTGGCCAGAGTCCTGCCTTTGGGGTTCTATTTCTCTCCCCACCTGGACCTGGACCAGGGACCCAGGGTATGTCCTCAATGGGTAACCATCCAGGCAGGCTATGGTATCTTCGTATCAGATTCTCTTCCAACTAATGCTTCCTCCTCCTGGGATGGGCATTGCTCTTTTAGATACCGGCATGACAGCTCCACAGCAGTGGCAGGCAACCCCCGAAGCCACGGGCAAAGCCGAGAAACAACCCAGGAGCGCAGGAAGAAAGAAGCCAACAAGGCGGCCAGAGCCAATCACAGCCGCAGAACCATGGCTGACCGAAAGAGAAACAAAGGCATGATCCCATCCTAAAGCCACAAAGCTGCTGGGCAAGGGAGGCTCCTCCAGGCAGCTCTGTCCTCAGCAGCTCAACTCTATGGTCCCAAGGAAGGCTGCTACCACACCTTGTCCACCAGCCAGCCATGAGCGCCTTTGTGTTAAACACACAGTGCCTTATCCTTCAGTGGAGGAACCCAGTGCCATCAAGCAGGCTTCTCCCCCAGCTGTGTTGACCAGAAAGGATGGAGAGAAAGATCCAAGACATCCCCCATCTTATGCAGCAAGACACCAGTTCACTTAATCCCAGGATAGCAGAAGACCTGTATATTCAGAACCAACAAAAGGCCCATGAATAAAACTTGTGACCCTTCCAACAGTGATCCATGACATGCCTTGAATCTTTCCCTCTGTTTCTTGTTCCCCAGTGACAGCACCAGCTGGAAGACAAGGCAGGGTGGGCCTCATGCACTATACGTTGACCTTCTGTGCTTGCCCCTCAGTGTAACCCTCCTAATACTGCTCTGCCTTGCTGTGTGACCCAAAGTACATCATCCCCTTCTGTTTGACTATAGAAGGAATCATGGCCAGGTGCAGTCATGACAACCTCTACCCCAGCAGGTAGGTACTGTTTTCAGTCCATAGCACAGATGAGGGAGCGAGACATGAAAGGCTTAGGGTACATGCCCAGGCCACAGCCAGGAAGTGGCAGAACAGGACTTGGAAGCTTAGTCTGATCAGTGGCATGATAGGTTCTAGACCTGTGTAGATGATGCCAATCCCCATGTTACAACAGTCCCTCCAAATCTAGAGATTAGAAACCTCCAGGAAGAAGTGAGGATGTGCTGCCAAGCCCTTTTGAAATATTTTATTTATTTTTATTCTATGTGTATGAGTGTGTTGCCTGCATGTATGTGAGTGCACCCGTGTCATGCATTACCTTGGTGGTCAGAAGAGGGCTTCAGATTCCTCTGGAACTGGAGTTAAGGACGGTTCGTAGCCTTCATATGGGTGCTGGGAATTGAACCTGGGTCCTCTGCAAGAGCAGTCAGTGCTCTTAACTGCTAAGCCATCTCTCCAGCCCCTACCAAGCCCTTTTAAAGTGAATTGGACTTGGCTGGTTCCCAGAGTCCCTCCCAGGCATGGCCTACCGCTCTGCCATGAGGTATCAGCTGACAGGTCTCCTTGGTTTTTACTAATTGGCAGCGGCTCCTGACCCAGCAGGGCCTGGAGTCCATCAGCAGAAGCTAGGCTCATGCCTAAGTAGACTTTTCCAAGTCACCTAGATGCTGAAGACATTCATTTGCTTGCAGTTAGGATGAGCAGGCAAGTCACAGTGGATAGACACTTGATGGATTGGTTTGTTAGGCCAGCCTGCACAAGTGAAAATCAATAGCAGTTCTCATCCACCACCCTGGCCTCTGGGGTTGTTTGAGATGCAAACTATGGCTATGGGATGGTGTCCTCCCTGAGATCTGGCAGAGTTAGCTGTCTTGATAGACAACTGGAAAACTTTCCTCCTGCAGACACTTGCCAGTGACCCAGCTTGATGGGAGGACCATTTCTTTTCTTGCTGAGCCCAGACCCAGCTGTCATCTGGAGCAAGGGGAGCCCCTAGTTGTTACGTGTCTTGCCTGCTGCTTTTCCCATTCCTGTTTGTGCAGCGCCTTACACCTGCCGCTGGCTGGCTGTCCCTCCAGCCACCTGAAGGAGCGTTCAGGTTACCCAGGAGTCTTGTGCCTGGAAGAATGGAAAGTAACCATTTTTCATGTCTCCCAGCATGTTGGGCTCCCTCAGGAGCTGCTGCTTGTACCTTTCAGCCTTCCAGGGCAGCCTTTCAGTATGTTCTGAAACCAACCCAGGAGCATCCCTGTAACCCTTCCCCCTAAGTCTGTTTTCCCATCTCTACAGTAAGCACATTGGACCAGATGAATGGCTTCCATTTGGTGTCCCTACAGACTGAGACAGGATGGTGCTCACTGGTAGAGCACTTGCCTAGCATGGATAAACCTACAGGCTCAGCCCTCAGTACCACAGAAAATGCCCCCAAGGAGATCCCCATTTTTAAGATTGGCAGCTCAAGAATGTTGAGTGGGGTAGGTAGAGTGGGGACCCGTTCCATACCCACTTGGTCCCTGGGCCAACCCCATCCCCATTGCTATCCTATGCAGGTATTTTCTAAGTGCCTTCTCTGTGCCCTGGCAGAGAACATGACCATCACAGATGTTTCTGGAGAAACTTTTAAGACCTTGTACCTCCAAAAGGACATGAGACCCAAGTGTCTTTATTCCTAGTCTGTAAATGACATCAGTGGGAGACATGAGCTGTGTCCCTGGGAGGTGGTAAGGCAGAACCAGAGACTGTTTACAGAGAGACCCAGAAACATGTGGGAAGGAGCCAGGCAAGAAATTTGCCCGTAGTAAGTTAGTGGCAGAGCCTCAATACATGTCCTTGCCAAGTCATCCCCAGCCACAGCATGGAGGAGGAAACAGTTGGCCAGGACCTGCATTACACTGCCCCACCAGGAGCTTGGATTCAATAATGTGGGCAGAAACACAAAATCAAATGAAGGTCAACTGGAGCTAGATACAGCATACTTATGTAATTTCTTGGTAGGTGGGGACAGAGTTCAAGGGCATCCTGGGCTATGAGACCTTGTCTACAAATCTTTCTGAAGAAAAAAATTTTAAAGCAGAATACATGATAGTAGTGTGAGGCATCATGATTGTCAAAATATAAAGTTTCTCTTGCATACAAAGTATGAAAGGGAATGTGTAGGTGGTGGTGGTGGTGGTGGTGGTGGAGCGTGATAACTTACACTGGGAATAAACACATTTACTGAGCACCATTCATGGCCAGAGTACCTCCTGTGTTCTTCCCTTGCAATCTCATGCTTAATTAATCTTGAAGCATTGGGACAGGTAAGAAAATTGAGGTTCAGGGAAGGTAGTGACTTGCCTAAGGTCACACAGCAAGGGACTCAGGATAAGAGTCAGACCCAGGACTGCCTCCTAAAGCTTCACTCTTCAGCCCATGTTTCTCTGCCCCACAGGGAAATCCCTGTCACTGTTTTTACAATGAAAGAACACAGGGAGCCAAACACAAGGATGTGGACTGCTAGACTCCTCTAGTACAAGTGGCAGACCATTTGATATTGCCCCATAGATCCAGAGCTGAGTTTATTTTATTTTATTATTAGTATTTTTTTGGTCTTTTATTTTATTTTATTATTAGTATTTTTTTTTTTTTTTTTGGTCTTTTTGAGACAGGGTCTCCCTGTAGCCCCAGCTGTCCTGGAACTCACTATGTAGAAAAAAAAAACAGAGAGAAATATGAGGGGTTTTATTGTTTTGTGTGTGTGTGTGTGTGTGTGTGTGTGTGTGTGTGTGTGTGTGTGTGTTTGAGATGGTCTCCTTGTAGCCCCAGCTGGCCTGGAACTTGACCAGGTTGGCCTTGAACACACAAAGATCCACCTGCTTCTGCCTCCCAAGTGCTAGGATTAAAGGTGTGCTCTACTGTGCCCAGCAGTGAGTTTCATTTTTTTTAAACCTTTTTTCTGTTTCCACATTCGTTTTCCTTTTCTTTCCACATTCGTTTTCCTTTTCTTTGTTTATCTAGTCTGCTGTTAGGACCACTGGATAATGCTTTGCTTTGTTTTGTTTTTTGAGACAGGATCTTCATATGTAGCTGAGGCTGACCTTGAACTCAAGGTCCTCCTGCCTCATGCTGAGTAGGTGTTCATTTTTATGTTCAGTTCCTCTCCAGAGACTAGGGGGACAGGGTTGTGGTGTCCTCATCAGAGCCTGAACGCTGAGCCCTGGGAGGATAGGACCTTAAGAATTCTGTCTACAGGCCCAGCCTGGCCCCGGCACCATCCCAAAACAGCCTGCATCCACATTTGCTGCCTGCCCTAAGGGCCAGTCTCCTGGGAAGGCCAAGAGGGGAGGACTAGGGCCCCTATTGGCAAAGGCCCACTTCTACTGTCCTGGAAGTCACAGTACAAGAGGCACATGGACATTAAATTAGACATTTTGGAAATGCAGAAAGAGGCCAAGAGCAGAGGGACTGCAGATGCCAAGGACAGTCACAGCTTTGTACAGCAGTGAGGTTCCCTGACAGAAGCCATGGAGCTCAACCTGGCTTGGCCAGCCAGCGGGGAAATAGGATGCAGAGAAGTGTCAGAAGAACTGGTTCTAGAACTTGGCCCTGACAGGAGGAAGATGAGGCTCAGAAGTAAGGGGGGGAGGGTTAGCACATGCCCACCCTTCGTTTTCTAGAATGAGCCAGAGCTCCAAGGACACAGCAGGAAGAAGGGAGGGCTGGATCTATACCAGGCTACCAGGCCAGCTCTGGCCTCAGCTCTCAGTGGAGCCCCTGGGTGCTGAAGAAGCAAGGGTGGAGTACGGCTGAGGCCAAAGGTGGTTCTTGCAATTCTGCAGCCCTAACCTGGTTAAAAGGTTGATTCAGACAAAAGATTACCATCTGCAGCCCTATGGATAAATGGAATGGGAGTAGGGGACAGGTCCCTAAAAGAGGCATGAAATTCTGCCTGCCTATCAAACAGAAAATTCTCCACCAGCTATCAGCAGGAGGTCTGTATACAGATGATGGACTCACAGACCCTGAAAGGGCCCTTAGATTTCTCAACCTTTGAAACTCCAGCAGGCCCCACTCCCCTTCCCTGCCCCCCAAGTACATTGTCCTCATTAAGAATTCAATGGGCTTCTGCTGGGCTCTCCCAGCCAGAGACGTTCCATCAGTTTACTTGCTGTGGTCTGAATGACAAAAATGATGAACACTAAACTCTAGTTTTCCAAAAATGACATATGATGCTGAGTGTTTTGTCCAGCTGCAGGGACAAAGCACTCCCCTCCCCCACCACCTATTTCTGGAATGTCCCTTAAGTGTTCTGCTCTCCCAAGGAGGTAATTATGGCCTCCTCCGAAAGTGGTTTTCACACAAGAGCCAGGCAGGAAAGGAGCCCCCAGTGGGCCAAGTGCTGATTATTGTAAATTCAGGCATGTTCCGTGTACTGTTTCTGTACAGGATCCTGTCCCTTCTCCCATCTCACATTGTGATGTACTTGTTCAGCATCCTTTCCCTGAGAGTCCCAGGCCTGCTCAGGCCTGTTCTTTTTATTGTTGAATCATTCATAGAGGAGGACTGGGGTAGTCCAAAGAGCATTGGATTGAAGGCTAAGAGGTAGGAGGCACAGTGGGTAAAGTATTTGCTGAGCAAGAATGAAGACCTAAGTCTGGATTCCCAGTATCCATGTAAAATCATGTGCAGTGCCTATAATTCCAGCACTGGGGAGACAGACAGGAGGATCCTTGTAGCTCACTGGCCAGTTACTATAGCTAAATTAATGAGCTCCAGGTTCAGT